CAATGTGTTTATTTTTCTCTGTTTTTATGTCCCCGTAATCGAAGATTCGTTGGTATATAATGTTTATCCTTTCCGTCAAACCGTCTGTTTGTCCACAAAAAAAATTTTTTGATTGCTTGGAGCTATGGTTAGTGTAGCTAAGTGTAGTCCATTTGACGACTTTCCTTTTTGGTAACAACACATTTGACCTTTAAACCGATACGTTTGATGACATTTTGCAAAAACTTTCTATAGTTTAAAAGTGATCATAGTTTTATCGTTTGACTTTGACTTTTGAAATCGACTTATAAACTTTGACCTTTGCCATAAACTGCAATACATTGGCATCAGTGTTTTATAAACACATCTTGTTTTTCCCGTGCTTTAGTTTTCAATTTTATTTGTTTTTCTTTTTTATTTTTTTGTCACCTTCTTGATTATATTTCACTTTTCACAAATAGTACCAGACGCTGAAATAAGACAGTAATGCCAACACAGACTCTTAAAGTACTTTCCTTCTGGGTATTACGAAGAAGAAGCCAAAATGGGTATTCTTTAACTTACATAAATATTCCATAAGACCGTCTTTTATCGGACCCAGTCTTGTTCCCAGGATGAAAATTAAAATTTTACACCACCGAGGTCTAACCATACAACTACAACAGTTAATCAAAGATTTACTTTTTAAAATATATTAACACACCCTTCTTTTGATCAATATCCATTTCCACATCTTGTGTCTTATCTTAACTCTGAAACTTTATTCCACTCCTAAAAGACACCAACATGTTATCATATTTCTTAAAATATAAAATAGCTACAGCTCAATCTGAAAATATTTTTATAGAAAAAAAATGGCTCACTGGCGTCCAGGGTGGAAAAAAAGTATACAGGTTACGTTGTCACATACATGTATATACTCGTCTATTTCTCATTAGTGGAAATGAATCCATTGTCAAAACTGACAGTATCAAATACAGCATTAGCCAAGATAAGATACAACAGATCAGATCCACAACAATTACCGACATTTCCTTATAATTAACAATTTGGTGGAGTCCAATTTTGCTGCATTAATCAAATATTTCCGGTAATTGACAATAGATAACTCCTATTCGTTTCAAATTTCTGAATTATATATGCAAAAAGTTTTAGGAAAACTAAAGCAATCTACTTGTGTTGAGTTTGTTATTTTTGTTTTATGCATGCCTATGGCATGTCAAACGTTGCTATATTCGATAATCTTGTGATGTATATTCAAAATCTTGTGATGTATATTCAAAATCTTGTGATGTATGTTCAATATCTTGTGATGTATATTCAAAATCTTGTGATGTATGTTCAATATCTTGTGATGTATATTCAAAATCTTGTGATGTATATTCAAAATCTTGTGATGTATGTTCAATATCTTGTGAGGTATATTCAAAAACTTGTGATGTATATTTTATAAACTTGTGATGTATGTTCAAAATCTTGTGATGTATATTCAATAATCTTGTGATGCATGTTCGAAATCTTGTGATGTATATTCGAAATCTTGTGATGTATATTCTATAATCTTGTTATGTATGTTCGAAATCTTGTGATGTATATTCGAAATCTTGTGATGTATATTCTATAATCTTGTGATGTATGTTCGAAATCTTGTGATGTATATTCGAAATCTTGTGATGTATGTTCGAAATCTTGTGATGTATATTCGAAATCTTGTGATGTATATTCTATAATCTTGTGATGTATGTTCGAAATCTTGTGATGTATATTCGAAATCTTGTGATGTATGTTCGATAATCTTGTGATGTATATTCGAAATCTTGTGATGTGTGTTCTACAATTCAGTGATGCGTGCAATATGACGCAACAGTACTTCAGAAAAGTAAGGACAATTTTCATTGGTTAGAAATAACGAAAGTAGCCGGAGCGACGATCGACATCCTGATGAACACAACTTTGCAAGTGTGAAATTGGCGAATTCAACCTAAAGTCAAAATTATAGGTAATACTATATTTTGAAAATGTATTGTTTTGGTATCACGAAGCACTAATTAAGTCAGTCATAACGTGAAAAGTGGGAATCAAGAACATTAATTTGACACACGACATCAACATGATCAAAAACAATTTAATGGCTAACTGCTGGAGAATGTTTTATCCTATTTTTAGGTCCTCATATTGTAGTGATGTTGATTAATCGGTATGATTTTATATAGGTGCTAGTTAGAATAATCTAACTGTGTCTCGGGACAAACTCTCACCACGCAGGGTTCGAAATTGGCCCATTGACCGTAGCACTAGTCCAGGGACGACTTTTCAATAAACAGCTGATAAATAAATAAATAACACGACAAATTTTTAGGAGAAGGTGACTGTCAGGAAAAGATTAATTGTCATGCATGATTGATTACTGTCATTCACAAATTTGTCCGGTTATTTTTATAGTAAATGTTTTAAAAATTTCTTAATATTTGAAAGATGTTTTTACAGCCTGAAAAATCGTAATATATGTAATGATATATAATATTCTTGACAAGCAATAAACAATGATAAAAATTATTGTCGCATATCTGCGGTGATTTTCTTTGATCTTTCTGTGGTGATATTATCCCATATCACATGTGCGATAATACTTTCCAAACATGTTTCAAAGTTTTTACACTCTGTATCATACAAATTTAAAGAACAGTTTTATGAGCTCATAAGTACATTAAATGGTTAATTTATCAAAACCTGCCACTAAAAATTCAAAAGTCTTAAGTTAAACCAAATTGTCCTGGGTATTCTTAGTAAAGTATGTCAAAGGTCAAGGTCAAGTGAATTGTAAGGCTGGTATTTTTCCTTATGTTTTATGGCAATCAGTGGCTGTGCACATGGTAAATAGATAAAATTATCCCTTAAAGGTCTTATGCAAGGAGATAGCCAATCAAAATGAACTCAGTCTAATGTAGTTCTATGTATATAGAGACAATAATGTTTCTTTTCTTTTTCATTTTCAGCAACTTTATGTAGGTCTACAGTTTTAATTTTGAACTCATGCACTAGGAATATCATATCAGCAGAATTGTGCCACTGAATCAAAGGGAATTTTTTTTTTTTAGGTATGCATGATCGATGTAACTTCCTCGATGGTGTGTTGGCTGTTTGCCCATGTGTATTTCGGGGTATAGGTATGTTTACTCTCGGAAAAATCAGGTTACTCATTTTTACGACAATTTCTTTGATTTCAGGAGTAGCCTCCCCTTTTAAAGATCCAAAATGGTGATTTTACAGTGCAGCATGCAGTGTGGTCAACAACGGAGAGTTTTGACAACCGTAATACCCATATTTCTACCATTCACCTCTGTAACATTTGTTGAGTTCATCAGACAGGTAAGAAAAACAATATTATTAATTGAAATAATTTTATCAAGATAAATAAAATAATTAATGAAAAAAAAATTACATGAACAGACTCCCTCATATAAGAAAATGTCACATTTTACACATTGCAATTATACATCATTTACATATCCACATTTTCCCCATTTACACATGCAGTTGAATAGATTTAGTGCTTAATAATACATAGCAACAATTATTACATGTAAGACAATTCACAAAAATACATGAATGCATTAATTAAACTGTGAAATACAGATTTTGTACATTTAATTAAAATGCACAGCATCAATCCCCCCCCCTCACAATCTTGCAACTTTCTTTTTAATTCAAAGTCACTAGGCAACACTAAAGATTTTCACTTATTGCTTTTCAGTCCAAGACAGGAAGTTGAGGAATAAAGTTGACAGGACATCCTGAACTGTCCTTGGTACCAGCTCATGAGGGAACCAGCCGCAGAGTGGAAAAAGCACGTTACATCATAGGATAATAGGTAAGTCTCCGGAGTAGTGTTTGTAGCAATTCTCGTACTTGGTCCTGCATCGAAGCTTCAGGACTATTGATATTTATCTCTGCATGGATTCTCTTATGGCTTTGGTTCTTCCCAGAAACATGTTACTGGTGGTGGTCCCTATATTCTTCTGGCTTTTTTGGTGAGGAATGTTTCATTTTTAGCTCTTTTCTGATCACATTTTGTCCGGTGTCCGTCTATCTAGCTGTCTGTCCGTCTGTCTGTCCATTTGTCTGTCTGTAAACTTTTCATATTTTCAACTTCTTCTCAAGAACCCCATGACCAATTTCAACCAAACTTGCCACAAAGCATCCTTGGGTGAAGGGGATTCAAGTTTATTCAAATGAAGGGTCATGCCCTTATTCAAGGGGAGAAAATTCAGAAATAATGAAAATTTGATGGTATGTTTTAAAAATCTTGTTCTCAAGAACCACTGTGCCAGGAAAGATGAAACTTATGGGGAAACATCCTCAGGTAGTGTAGAATCAAGTTTGTTCAAATCATGACCCCCAGGGGTAGGGTGGGGCCACAATGGCCTTCCAAAGTTTAACATAGAATATATAGGAAAATTCTTTAAAAATCTTCTTCTCAAGAATGACAAAGCCATAATTGATCCTATTTATATGAAAGCATCCTCAGGTAGTGTAGATTCAAGTTTGTTCAAATCATGACCCTCGGGGGTAGGAAGGGGGCACAAGGGATGATCAAATTTTTAAATAGAAATATATAGGAAAATTCTTTAAAAATGACCTTCTGAAGAAAAGTAAATCCATGATTGATCATGGGACTACTTTTGGATTTAAACTTTTCAATAATAAACCAATTTTTACTTTTTCCTAGCCACAGTGCTCAAGTGAGCGATGTGGCCCATGGGCCTCTTGTTTTTTAAAAAAAATTATCAATCATTAAAAATAAATAAATCGGTCGTAAAAAAAATTTGCTTCATATTTGAAGTGCTTTAAACTGACCCTTTGATGAAAGTGACCGGAGTTTTTTGCACCAAGAGTTAGCAAAGCTTGGAAGGTTTATTGGTATTTAATTAAGAAGGAAGTTATGATTTTGGTGTTACTATTGTTGTTATTTAAGTTTGATTTGATTTTTACATTAAGAGTATTATGAAACTGTTATTTTGTTACTGACCGATGGTTAATTTTCATTGTGAACAAATGTACAAAGATGAGGAGCGTAATATACAGTGTAGTTGGCTATGTATATTGCCCAATTTTTGAACATACTATGTAATAAATATTAATATTATACTTTCATGTAAATTACTTGAATCTGATTCGTCGAGAAACATTTGATAAAAAACTATACTACCCGCTGAATAGCGTAGCAACAGTCAACATTGCTTGATGACGGGTGGTATTCCAAAAAATAGCGACTGCGCGGAATTTATGCGCGCACGGTTCACTGTAATATGTATTTATATAAAACATTCAGTATAATCTAATAAATATAGCATGTAGTTGAGTGTAACATTGAAAATTTTCACCCCTCGAAAACCATTGTCAACCTCGGCTGCGCCTCGGTTGACAATGGTTTTCTTGGGGTGAAAATTTTCAATGTTACACTCAACTACATGCAATATTTATATAATAATAATCTTTGAATAATTGGAAAGACAATATTATAAATATGATAGCATATTTGTACATGAGCATACATTTTTGAAAGGAAAAAAAAATCATTCAATTATATTGCATTTTAAAAAAAATATTTTGTTTCATATTCTTGCGAATTATCAGATCATTCTTCTATTATTCTAATACTCTGTCATTATGAAACCTTGTTAATAATTTAGTAAATATTAATTGTACATTTGCACCAGTTTTTCCATGGCACTTTCACACTAAGAATGCCACGTGCAAAATTATATACAGGAACAATTCTGAACAAATATATGCAAGTGAGTTGTAAATTTGATATGTAATGCATATATTACAAAAACCCATTACAGTGTTCACTAAAATGAAATGTATGGACTCTTATATTAATTACTTGGTATATATGATATGGATATTATGGGTATTATTTTTGAGAATGACACAAGTAATGAAATTTTTCAGCATTGAAATGGATTCTTGAACCAGAGCCATGTGAACCTGGTCCACCTGTAACTCTCATTGAAGACCTGTTAACATCACCAGAGTATGTTCATTCTGATACCCCTATGGTATGGTTACAACGTGCATTATCCCTGTCAGATGAAGCCATTAAAAGAGCTGCATTGGAAACAACTGGGCAACGAGACAACCCAATGTGGTCGATTGTAAGGAAATACAGAATAACAGCTTCCAACTTTGGTGCAGTTCTCAGTTCTAAGCAATGGCGGTGATTAAATTTTTGCGAAATAGACTTTTTTAATTACAGTCAAACTTTGTTATCTCAAACCCATTATCTCAAATTCCATAGATATGTCAAAGTAATTTTGAAGTCCAAACCATTTATAAAAGACTGGGACATTTTATTCTCGATAACTCTTTATGTATTATTCTTGAATCCACGGATATTTCCAACGTTTTTCTTGGTCTCATTGAGTTTGAGATAATGAGGTTTGACTGTAATGACTAGATATTTATACCCCCGCTTTGAAGGAGAGGGGGGTATACTGTTTTACCCTTGTGTGTCTGTCCGTGTTTCTGTGTTTCTGTCCGAAACAAATTTTCGTCACAGTTTTCTCAGCGACTACTCATCATAGATGCTTGAAATTTTAACACAATTTCTCTGAGGCATGCCATATGGTGGGATACATTTTCGCTCAAATCCGATGTCAACTTCCTGTTTGTCTGTGCGTCTGTCCGTTTCATACATAACAAGTTTTCTCTGCAACTACTCATTGTAGATGCTTGAAATTTTAACAAAATCTTCTCTGAGGTATGCCATATCTTGGGATACATTTATTTTTCAAATCGGATATCAACTTCCTGTTTGTCTGTGCATTTGTCTGTTTCACACATAACAAATTTTCGTCGCAGTTTTCTCTTTAGCTATTCATAGCGGATGCTTGAAATTTTATTACACCTTTTGTTGAGGCATGCCATATGGTGGGATTAATTTTGATATGAATCTGATGTCAACTTCATATTTTTCTGCGCATCTGCATGTAATTGAACTTGGGTATATATATTAACATGATAGTGCTTATTTACATCAGAGCGGGGGTATTACTAGTGAGCATTGGCTCACAGATTTATGTACATATAGATGCGGGAAATATAAGATCAATAACCAAAAATCATATTTTCTTCTTCAGATTGACATTGTCACTGAAAATACGGCTTATGTCAGCTTACAATCTGGAGCCCATCAAGGCTGTTGCATGGGGTATCACTCATGAGGATGATGCTTTGAGAAAGTATGAAAAGGACTTTGATGCAGCTATAGAGCAGTCAGGTATACAGCGCAAAATAATATTCCTTCAACCTCTGACATGTTAACATTCATTGTGTCAAAACAAATAACAGGACTTATCCTGGTGACAAACAGAAATTAATTACTGAAGTCTAATTGTAAAAAAAAATATTCAATTACCAAAATATTCCAAAAAATTTGCTGGAAATCTATTTGAAGTGGAAGGATTATAAAAGCTCTACTTAGACTTTGTTTGCATTACAAAATCAATTGTATTATGGTTTGTTTGCATTCAGTAGTATAATAATTTTTTCTGAAAGGGATATGGTTGCATGAATCTGGAGCGTTGGGAGCTTCACCTGATGGCTTAGTTGTTCGACCACCAACATGCAGTGTATTTTATCAAACTCCAGAAGCCAAAGACGCCATTCCTGATATTGTAGAGGTGAAGTGTCCATATACAGCATCATCTTCAACAGTAGCAGATGGGGCACAAAATTTGAAGGATTTTTTCATAGGTAAATAACAATTTATAAGTTCGATTAAAAATCTGTATTGTCCAGTACTTTGAAATTATAAATCTTGGTGAGTAAATGATTTCAATACATGTATTAATTAACAAGTGCAACTGTTCAATATGGTACGAAGATGTGGGAAAAGGAGGGGATATGAATTGGTATAACACAACTTAAGTGTTTTTTTGATTTTTTTAGATCTTAAACAAGATACCCTGTTCCTGAAAACCAGTCACCCATACTATCATCAAATTCAAGGCCAGCTACACATATTAACAAAACATGCTGCGACTGAATTGTGTGGACAAGAGTAGACTGCATTGTGATTAGAATAATAAAAGACATTGAATGGACAGCAAATGTTTCAAAGCTGATAGATTTCTACTTTAATATTTTATGTATGATATGATATGTCACAATCCATCATAAAACTTCTGGCTTTTAAGACTATTTTAAATAGCAATGATGATTAATAAAATCTATGTACTACATAAAAAAGAATATCAAAATTTAGAATCATTTTATTAATGAATTGAAGATGTTATTCTCAAAGTGAAAATGTAACATTTTTGTCTTCGTTAATAAATAAATTGTTGAAAACATGAATTTGTTGAGTTGTGCTTTAAAGGTAAATATACTTGAAACTAGAGATTTAAAATTATATTAAGTAAACCCTCTTCCAAATTATATTGTCAAATGAAGAATGGAATTGCCAAACATTCTTGTAATAAAAACATACTGTCACACACCAATGCAAATTTATAATAAGTACATTTATCTTTAAGTAATTTCTTTCAAAAGTGGAGCTTGCAAGTTTACAAGACAAGAACAGAGTTGAAATATTTTTGTTGAGATTGGTCTGTAAGTAGATGGGATGTGACGGAGAATCTCGTAATTCTTTATCCTCTCGTTGGCTCTTTCCACATGAATACGTGCTTTAGCAATCTTGTAACACAGTGCTGCTTCTTGTTTGGTAAACTGGCCTCGTGTCGATAAAAAAGCTGGTATATTAAAGCAGACACCCTGGGGCAACTGGTCATGAATAATGAAACCTTTGTCCGCCAAAATAGGGTCTCCAGCTTTGAACTTTTGTAAAACTTGGCTGTGACGTACAATAGCTACATCAGAAGTAGAACCTGGGTACAGCATGGAGCAAAATGTAAGTGCACCGTTTGGAGCCATGCAAGTCACTGCTTTAACAGTATGGCGACTTTTGTACATACTGCAGGCCATGGCCTGATTGTCCATATGTGTTGGGATGTCCTGGGTTGTTTCAGTTGCATCCATGGATGCTCTAGCAGAGGAAAAATCCTCAAAAGATTTTGGCAGAGACCCTGAAAAAAAGTTGGAAAAAAATTAATTTGATTATTTGAAATTGTGTAAAAAAGATTGTGTTACAGTAAACTTTCAAGAATACAATAAATTTAACTGCATAAAATTTTTGCAAGTCATTATGATAAATTTTAAAACAAACCTTTGCATTTAAGCTGACTTGGAAAACATTCATTGACTACGCCATCAGACAGCATCTTGTGTAGTGCATGAACAAGGGTATGAAAGATGTTCGAAATTGTTGGTCGACTGACACAGAATCAATGAGCCAAGTTGGTGTCCCGTAGATTGAGTTTTAACTTCATTAGTACAATGAGCAGTTGGTCCTCTGTTTTCATTGAAGGAGTCCAGCCATTTAATAATCGAGTTCAAATCGTTGTAACAATCTGACTTAAGATTTCGAATATGTCATACTGTAGGGATGTATACAAAAGCATCTGAAAATAAATTTGTTTTAATGCTGATTAAAATATTTCCAAAAACTGAGAAGATTGTAAATAAATTAGTTTCAAGTAATAACAATATTAGTCACAGTCAGGTTTGCTACTTTCCATATTATGCATTTATTTAAAAACTGTTGAAATGAGACATTTAGTGTTCTGATAATTGTTGTCATAGAGTAAAACATGGTTTATACAGAGAAGGTTTTACAATGAAGCGCATTGAAGTGGTAAAATTCTCCGTTTGGATGAAAAGTTCTGAGTCATGTTTTGAAGGTCAATTATAACATAATGACACGCCCATATTTTTAGAAACGAGAAAGTAATATTCGTCGTAGTTTTAGGACATCCCATTCTTCGCGACAAGCATCATGAGTTACACTGAAATGGAGCTTTAAAAAAATAGAAGAGGGAGTTAGAGACTCCCCGCTTCTGTTAAACACAAATTGCAACGAATATGTACATATTTTTTAACTTATCATGTCTATTGAAGTTACCACAACACATGTTTCGGTCGAACACGTGTTTACTCAGTGTTTATTTAGATCCTCAATTTGATTGGCTAATATATTTATGGAAAACCTGTTCTACAGGTATTTGAAGAAACAACTTGACCGTTTTATCAATTTCTAAAGAAATGGGCGTGTCAAAAGATGACTATAAACACTCTAAATATAGCTCAAAACGTTCCATTCGAACGGAAAATTTTACCACTTCAATGCGCTTCATTGTAGACATTATTCACCCAAAGAGCAAATTAAATGATTTTTTTTTCTCTGTTATTTTAAATTGCATATTATGAACCCAACGATAATAACAAAATATGTTAACATAACAGTCAAATTGCATATTATGAACTCAACGATAATAACAAAATATGTTAACATAACAGTCAATCTAAGATGTTCATCCCTCAACGGCAACAAGTTTTACTGAAATTGTTAGGAAATAGGAAATCACAATTGGAATTCCTTTAAATGTACCTTCTCTTCGTTGTCTTTAATATCGTGAATTGACATTGGCTTCCTTTTACTAGACTCTATTTTTAGGGCAAGCAATTCCTTTTCCAGTTGTATTTCTGTTGAGAGGCACTGCATTTCTTGAGTACAGTTAAATGTGCAGGATGCTGAGTAGTTGTGCTCTGATATCAACTGAAAATATATTGTAAATCATGAGTAATTCGACGTACAGTTAAAAGAACTGTTATATTATTGTCCCCCGCTTTCGCGAAAGCGAGGGGACATTAAATCTCATTCGTCTGTCCGTCACAAAAACTTTAACCTTTCCCATAACTTTTGATTTAGTAGAGCTATGACTTTCATATTTCACATGTGTATTCCTTGTGACAAGACCTTTCTTTGGGTACCACCAAATTTGACCTTTTGACCTTGACCTTGGAGTTTGACCCACCTTTACACAAAAATTCCACACTTTTACTTTGGCCATAACTTTTGAATAGGAGGTACTAGGACTTTCATATTTCACATATGTATTGTTTGTGGCAAGACCTTTCATTGGATAACAACAACCTTGACCTTTTGACCTTGACCTTGGAGATTTACGTACTTATAAAAAAAACTTTAACCTTGACCATAACTTTTGAATGGTGAGGACTAAGACTTTCGTACTTCACATATGTAATCCTTGAGAGAAGACCTTTCATTGGATACCAAAAACTTTTACCCTTTGACCTTGACCCTGGAGTTTTAACTACTTTTAAAAAACTTTGACCTTGGTCACAACTTTTTAACAGTAGATACTAGGAATTTTATATTTCACATATGTATCCCTTGTGGCAAGACATTTCATTGGATACCAACAACCTTGACCTTTTGACCTTGACCCTGGAGATTTACGTACTTATGAAAAAACTTTAACCTTGACCATAACTTTTAAAAGGTGAGGGCAAGGGCGTTCGTACTTCACATATGTAATCCTTGTGAGAAGACCTTTCATTGGATACCAACAACTTTTACCCTTTGACCTTGACATTGGAGTTTTATTAGAATAACTACTTTTTAAAAAAAAACTTTAACTTTTGAACGGTAGACACTAGGACTTTTATGTTTCACATAGGTATTCTTTGTGGCAAGTCCTTTCATTGGATATCAACAACTTTGACCTTTTGACCTTGAACTAATTAAAGATTTACGTACTTTAAAAAAAAATTTAACCTTGACTATAACTTTTGAACAGTAAGGGCTAGGGCTTTCATACTTCACATATGTAATCCTTGTGAGAAAACCTTTCATTGAAAATCAACAACTTTGACCCTTTGATCTTGACCTTGGAGTTGACCGACTTTTAAAATACTGTTTACTTTGGACACCGAAAGCGGGGGACCACAATTCTTTGAATTTGCTTGTTAAATTTAAAAATTATTAAAAATGTTTCAGTGTTGGTCATTTGTCATCAATGGTGTTTTAAATGAGCTTTACTTTTTCTTGATCTTGACATTTTGGTGCTTGTGGAATCTGCAACTGGTCCATCTGTGAAGATGACAGGGACTCCTCACTTTTGAGTTTTTTCCTCCTTTGTAAAATAATTAAACTTGAATTATTTTTTTATTCAGTTGTAAGCTAGCTACTCTGTTTATACATGTACCCTTTTAAAGATTTTTAGTAAAATATTCTCAATTAAACTTCACCCACCCACCATCAAAAAACAAGATGTCGGTCATATTTTGAAAAATAATTTCACCTTTTTGTACATTCAGGATCAGAGAAATCCATGGCCTTTCCTTCATTCCATGCAAAATATGCAGGGTCCCCCTCCTTCTTACCATCCTTAAAGTGGCAGGAGCAGATGCTATCATTCTGATCTCCTGGTTGGCGATCAGCTTGTCTAAAAATATATTATACAAAGACTGAGTGAAAGAGAATTAAAAAGCAAAACATGTTCATTTGGCATGTTATTATCAAATCATAGCCTAAATGACTTATTTTTTCATTATTTTATTAAATGTTACGTTTACTTGCAAGTACAAGATAACCATGTGCATAACATTAACAAACGGTAGCAGTACTTGGTAGTAATAATACGAAATAAAATGTAATAAAAGCAGCTGTTAAACAAAAATTAACCTTGTTACAAATTGCACAGTTTTTGTAGTATATACTCTTCATTATTCTTCTGCTATATTGATTAATTACGACGAGATTTAACTGTATAAATATATGACAATGCAGCATCGTGACATATCGTTACAAGTACCTACAAATTTCGTCAACATTTCTACGTTTACCGAGTTTTTTTCCTAGCAGACCGAAATATCTCCATCATGTCACCAGGGTCAACACTCGTGCATCTCGTAATTAGTGCTGTAATAAACAAACTGACTGTGTTTTTCTCACCTGCATAGTTTTCCCCACAACAATCGCTCCAGCTACTTTCGTTATTTCTATAAACCAATGAAAATTGTCCTTACTTTCTTATAAAACTGTTGCGTCATATTGCACGCATCACTGAATTGTAGAACACACATCACAAGATTTCGAATATACATCACAAGATTATCGAACAAACATCACAAGATTATTGAACATACATCACAAGATATTTAATATAAATCACAAGATTTTGAACATATATCACAAGATTATAGAATACACATCACAAGATTTCGAATGTACATCACAAGATATTGAATATACATCACAAGATTTTAGAATATACATCACAAGATTTCGAATATACATCACAAGATATTGAACATACATCACAAGATTTTGAATATACATCACAAGATTTCGAATATACATCACAAGATATTGAATATAAATCACAAGATTTTGAACATATATCACAAGATTATAGAATATACATCACAAGATTTCGAATATACATCACAAGATATTGAATATACATCACAAGATTTTAGAATATACATCACAAGATTTCGAATATACATCACAAGATATTGAACATACATCACAAGATTTTGGATATACATCACAAGATTTTGAATATACATCACAAGATTTTGAATATACATCACAAGATTTCGAACATACATCACAAGATTTTGAATATACATCACAAGATTTCGAACATACATCACAAGATTTTGAATATACATCACAAGATTATCGAATATAGCAACGTTTGACATGCCATACGCGTGACAGTTGCACATAATAAAACACATGCTAAAAATGGAAAAATCGGTAACAAACAAGCTACTTACCCGTAATAACAACTTTATTAGCAGTGAATCATAAAAATTCCTTAAACGTTTACAATCGATATGCGGATCTTTTGGGGGGATTGCTAAGAATATATTTTTTCAGGTTTGTATTAACACATTTACTTGTACAAAAAAATGATTGTATAATGCTATGGGATGCGGAGAGGAGGGGGGGGGGGTCATCCAGGATTTTGATTTAATTAACCTGGGACGTGGCTCCCTTATTAAACGTCATTTTTTTATATTATCGATTTTTCAAGATAAGAATCGTTTTTGTTTGCTGAGTGAACAGTGGATGGAAAGATCCGTATTTCAAAACATGATCATATGACAAGCTACACTAATTTAACAAAAATCGCGAAGCTGTAAATCTTAATTCAAGCACAATCTACTCTGTGTGTGAATGCAAGAATACTTTGCCTTGTTATTTGTACGTATATTATGGAATATGGTTATTAAAAAAAAATAACAGCCACTGGTAAAATTAATTTTCAAAAAACAAGATCTAAATTATCGAAAATAATTGAACTATTATTATTTCCGTAACTGAAAGGTTATGAATTATTGGAAATGACGATTCTATTCAAAGCCATCAGAGCATAAAAGGGCAAATGGAAATACGACTTTAAAAAATATATCTATTGTCAAAAACCTTTATAAATAGGATTTAGAGGTGCTTCTTCGGATCATTTTAATAAATCATCGTGGATTTTAAGCTGGATTGACAAAATTATGCAATAATAGGTAAGTGTTACATTGAATTACATATATCATTGAAAGGTGATATATTTTATGTGTTTTATTTTACTATTGAAAGCTTATTTAAGACTGTGTATATTAGCATAAAATTATTATGTGTTTACTTTAAACCTCAGTCAAAATTCCGTATAATTTCTTGGTCCAGCGATGGGAGAGTTAAAGTGCGGTCACACGATGCGATTTTTCATCCGATTTTCATTCGATGTGCTCAGGTTAGTCGGATGGAGTCGATTGGTAAGGTGGTCACACGATCCGATTTTACATTTAATTTTCCATCCGATTTTGACAAGAGAGATGCAGGTGCTTGTTTTTCATTTATCTAATTGAACATTACGTCATTCTAATTATGACGTTTGAAGCTGACGTAATTTTCGCACAGTCAATGAAAAAAGATGACGGCAAGAAAAAAGAAAACAATACTTATGTGCATTGTTGCTGCTTTGGCAGTGAAAAGGAGTTTTAAAAAAGAAAGATCATGGACTAGGCTATGACTAACCAGGAGGAATGAACTGGGTATGAGAAAAAATATATTGAATACTCTAGCAATTTTTCGTATAATTTGATAGTTACATTATTTTCGCTTGAATAAGGGAAGTCAAAACTGAGATATATTTTCTTTCAATTCAAGAAGATGATCTGATTTGACAAATTGATAATTTTCTAAACAAAATTGAAATTGAAACTCAGCACACAATTAAGTGTAGTCTACAGGCGCGTAGCCAGGCGTAAACGTCCACATCATTTTTTAAGAGAGAGAGAGAGAGAGAGAGACGATATTTCCAATGTTTTCCTACGTGCGCTAGCTAAAGCTAGAGCATAAATCATATATCATTTAGCAAGAAATAGAAAATGTCTTTAAATTAAGAATAACGATAAAAATATACAAAATGACAACATAATCAGTTTTACGCCCCTGTGCACTTGTCTAAATATATATACTAGATCCTAGTAAAGATCAGTATTTGAAAATGATCTGTGGACATAACCTATAAGAGTTGGGTCCTGGTCCTTTTTGAGAAATAAATTTCGGAATTTTTTTTTTAAGTTTGTATCAAAGCTATTACATACATGTATCTTAATAGCGGGGTTTTATATTATATCACATGAAATTATCCTCCATAAACAAGAACAAGACGGAAATTTTACAGTATGTGTAAATGTGTATCTGCATGAATTGATCTCATAATTCTGATTTCATATGCAAAAAAATGTTTCAAGTACCACAAATAGACTGTAAGCATATATATCGATATAGCCTATATACTTCTTTTTGGAATATGGCAGAATTTGCTTAGGGAAATATATGTCGGTTGAAAACAGCCAATCCTTCAAAAATTTTCTAAAGGTTGACAAGAGACAGTTTTTTCTATCTATTGGAGCTCACAAAAAACGATATTTCAAAAACAGAAAACCCTAGGAGTTCAACCATTTCCGCAGAGGAGAGACTAGCTGTCACCCTAAGATATTTGGCTACAGGTAGGAACTCCTTTTATTAAGTAGAGTATAAATGTACATGTATACTACATGCAGATACGAGGAAAATGTAAAATAAAATTCCAATTTAAAATTTTTGACCTATATATATTCCCATTTCCTCACACAGGGGAGAGTTTCAGAAGTTTGGGTTACTCATTCCGAATAGCTCATAACACCCTAAGCAGTATTATTCCAGATGTTTGTACCGCCCTGTTCAATGCCCTTAAATATGTGCATCTCAAGGTAAACATAGACATGCTGATTATTCAATAAACCTTTGAAAATAAAAAAAATTGTGGAAAAGTATACACTGTTTCAAGTTAAATATGCTAATTACTGATCATGGGTACCATCTTCTGAGGCCGAGTGGGAGAATATTGCTAGGGAGTTTATGGAAAGATGGAATTTCCCAAGCTTTGGATGGAAAATACGTTGTCCTTCAGGCTCCATTCAAAAGTGGCTCATTTTACTTTAATTACAAAAATACACATAGTGTTGTTTTAATGGCTTTGGTTAATGCCAACTATAAATTCATATACGTAGATGTTGGCAGCAATGGGAGGGTGAGTGACGGTGGAATATTTAGGGATTGTACCCTGCGCAGTGCCATGGAAGACAATTCTTTAAACATGCCGGGCCCAAGACCTCTTCCTTGGAGAGAGAGGGACGTCCCTTATGTTATTGTTGGGGATGAGGCATTTCCACTTAAAGAGTACCTACTGAAGCCATGCCCTCAATGATCAGGTCTTGATGATAAGCAGAGAGCATTTAATTATAGGTTGTCAAGAGCCCGCAGAATCGTAGAAAATGCGTTTGGGATTTTGAGCAATAGGTTTAGAGTACTGAGATCCCCAATTCTGCTTTCGCCAGAAAAAGTGGAAAGTTTGGTGCTGTGCTGCTGCGCCCTTCATAATTTTTTGCGGCCCGATTTTCAAGTAGCAGGCACAGAGTGTGAGACGCCCCGGGAGATTGGCACAGGAATGGTCAGTTTGTCTAGTCAAGGATACCCCAGCAGTCAGAATGCCCGAGACATCCGTGATGAATTCAAGGAGTATTTCTGCACTAATGGACAAGTACCGTGGCAAACAGCTACTTAAGTACGTCTATTACAGTATGTTCCTGTAAAACATTCTATAAAGTTATTAATAAGTAAAAGAACAACGAAATATATACACCAGTAATTCTATACAAACACTTTACTGTTTTTAGAAGTGATAATGCTACATCAAAACATGCAGATATAATAAAAACAAATTTCCTTTTTAAAAATTTATCGGGATTAATGTTTGCAATCGTCATAAAAGTTTATCGTTAGTTCGTTACAGCCCCTGAGAAAAATCAAAGGTTTGTAAAGTGTCTAATTCCGTCTTCGGATGTTGTGGTTTGATTGTTATTAAATTGATAATTTTGAGGCATGTATTGCTGTTGATTTTGCTGCAATAAATAAACCTGCGTTTCGCATATCAAATTTTGAATTTTGTTTTTTATAACACATTTTTGGATAGTATTTGGCATGGACATTAGGGATCGGCCAACGTATTTACCGAAAATTTCATCATCAGATTCTTGATCTTCGTCAGGCTGATTCAAGCAGTCTATGGCTTTCTGGGGTAAAAGATCCGACTGACTCTTCTTACAAATGTCCTTTTTTTCTTCAGAGGTGTAGAATTATTTTCTGATGCTGTAACTTCCAGAAAGCTGTCATCTTGATCCATATCAGTTGAAGGCTTGAAAATGAATTATGATTTTTATGTCAAATTAATTGATATAAATTATGACATATCAAAAGCAATTAAGCAACAAATATAAATGTTCAACAGATCTCATGCATTAGCTAAATAATATATAGAAAAAATAAATGTACATTCCTACAAAAAACGACCAAATCTTAAAATTAAAAAAAACAACAACAGATAATCAATTTACATGTATCTAATTATAAGAATACCCTAAAAATGTTTTTCCTTCAGCCAAATTGATTTCTTTTGACATTTGTTAAGGACATACGCAACGTACATGCTACGAACATGTACACAACCTCTCGATGTACCTTCCCTACTGATAATTTCAAAGATAATCTCAATTTAGTATTATATATGTAGTACCATAAG